GCGCGTGGGGTCGTGCCGCGCGCAGTGGTTTCCGTTTCGGGAACATCGAGCCTAGCGCTCCTCGCCAGCTTGCGATGCCGGGGCGCTGCCAGGTGCGCGTTGCTCGCGGCCTCGAGTGCCCCGCCCTGCCGGGTGGCCCCCTCTGCGAGGCGTGCCTTCGCTGCCGCCCCCTTCGAGGCCCCGCGCCCGCGCTTGCGCTGGCTACGCCGGATAACCTCGACATCGACGCCGTGGCGGGGGGCGATTGCGAAGCAGTGGTGGCGCCGGGCTCCGCGGCGTCCGACCCCGCCAGCTTGCAGGCCTTGCTGAGCAACGTCGAGCCATCCCTCCGTAGGGCCTGGCTTGAGGACGAGCTCGCTCTCCCCATCGTCCGGGCCGCGCCCGCCGCCCGGCGCTTTCCCCGTCAAGGTGTCTGGGGATTTGGCCAGCTTCGAGGCCACCCTGACGAATGTGGGGTACCGCGCGCGTTCTGGCGATCGCTGGGTGGCCTTCGGCTTCGCCTTCTACGAAGGCCCCGGGCCGACGGGGCAGGCCTCGGCGTCGCGCCTCCACGCAGTCAAGTAACCGCTTCACTGCGAATGAGGATTGAGGGCGCCCGTCGGGCCAGACGAGCCGTGGCCGAGCTTTTCCGGGGCGCTACCAGGTGCGGGCGCGACTTCCCCGAGCTTCTCCGAGCCCGCCGAGCTGTCGGGGCCATCGGCCCGACGCTCTGGATGGAGCTCGTCGCGGGCGGCATGGCGCTGCCGCGTGACGCCGCGAACTTCGCCGACGACAAGATGTCTCTATCAATGGGTGGGCGCTCCATCCTTTCCCTGGGAGCGGCGCGCGTCCGGGAGGCGCGCGCGGTGGCCGCGCTCTTGGAGACAGAGGGCGTCGTGGTTTCGGGGCCGCTGAGTGGTCGAGCGATTGCCGCGTGGCTCCCCGGGGCAGCGGCGTTCTCGCCCGCCTCCTCGTCGCATTGATGCGCGAGGCGGGCTCGCCAAACTGTCTGGTTGGCGGTCGCTTCGCGTCCGCCCTCCCGCTGGCCCATGGCGCGAGCTCGGTCAAACGCGTCGTGGATTCGTGGCTGGGCACGAGATTCGCGTCCATAGTGAAGAGCGCGCCCTTCGCGCCTCGCCACCTCGATTATGCCCCCCCCTGGAACAGCAGCCCGCGGCGCGCGGGGATGGGCGCGGCCGTGGCCCAGCTTTCACTTGCGGGCGCCCGCCCGCTGCTCAGAGGGCGAAGATCGGTATGAAATGAACTTTTTCGCTGTCGGGGGCGCCTGTCCCGGGGCGGCTTGAAAGTCTGCGCCCTTGCGGTGGCGCGTCGAGGCGTGCTCTTTCCAGCCGCCTTCGGACGGCGGCCCCTGGCGACGGAAAAGTTTAATGTATGCCGTCCTTCGCCCGCGGATCCGGGACTTCCGGCCGTCGCTCCAGAGCTTGGGTGCGGTGGCGACTGCGACGGTGGACAGATTGGCGGGCCGCCTCGCCGGCCTCTGCGCCATCGCGCGGGGCCCCCTGCAGGTGGGCGCCCTCTGCCGCGCCCTTTCGGCGCAGCTGGGGGGGCGCGCCGGGGGCTCCGAGGGTCGCCGTGGACCGTTGCCTCCAACTGCGTAGCCCGCGCCGCTCGGCCCTCCCGGCGCCGCGCGCTTCGGCTCCGCGCTCGTGCGCGCCGGCGCTGAGGCCGTGCTTTTTGGAGTTCAATAGTGCTGATAGTCGCTGTCCGCGCGGCTCGTGGCCCTGTCGCCTTTGTCTATTCGGAGGCGTCCTCGGAGGTCTGGGTCGAGGTTTCTCATCGCGCGGTGCTCCGCGACCCCGGCGCGCCCGCCGCCGAGCTGACGCGGGAGCTCTCCGCGCTGGCGGCCAGGCCGTCGCCGGGCCTCGGTGGCGCCGATTGCGCTGGCGGCGTCCCGCAAGAAGTTGACGCCTCGCAAAAGTTTGCGCGCCCACATCGCGGACGTCAGGGTGGCGGCCGAGGCCGGGGGGGGGGCGCAGAGGTGTTGCGCCGCATTGTCCAACGTGTCCGCGCGAACGCCGGGCTCGCTCGCCGAGACCGCGGCGGGGGCCGCCCCGCGGGCGGGTGAATTCTATTGCGTCGCCTCGCGTGAGGGCCACTTCCCCCGCTTGCTCCTCTGGGGCTTTGGCGAGGTCAGGGAGGTCCGCGCCGCCCGCCGTGGCTGGGCGGCGCAGGTCGGCGCGGACAAGACTGGCCTCGAGGTCGTCGGCGGCGCCTTGGCCCGCGGCGCCCTCCCAGGAAACGGGGGGCGGCTGTTCGGCGCGAGGGCATGGGAATTTATTGCGCGACCGAGTTTGACGAGGGAAGGTTGATTGGTGGACGTTGTTCTTTGGCTCCGCCCCGCTCCGGCGGGGCCGCCCCGGGCGGGCCGCGATGATCCGCCGTTCCCTCTTGCCGCCGCCTGCGATGCCGACGGCCCCCTTCTATGATTATTTATCAGCTGATCTTCCCTGGGGGCGACTTGTAACCTCGGCAGCCTTTTCATGCGAGGTTGGACAGTCTTGAGGGGGGAAAGAAGCACGCAGACACAATTAATCGTCGACTCCCGGGAAAATTATCCCGGCAAAGCATCCTAACAGCGATGTGTATAAGAATATCTGGAAGCATTCCCCTTAATATTCAGGTGAGAATCCAGTTGTAGAATTCTGCTGTTCTCGCAGTCGCAGTCGCATTCGCAATGACAGTCGCAGTGGCAACGGCCTTAGGACCCAATGGAATCCTAAGGATTCCTAGGGATTCCTAAGGATTCCTAAGGATTCCTGAGGCTGCTTAACTATGCCTACGGATTCCTAAGGATGCCTACGGATTCCTAAGGATTCCCAGGGATTCCTAAGGATGCCTATGGATTCCTACGGATGCCTCAGCCTGCCTCAGTTTCAGCCTCAGCCTCAGCCTGCCTCGGCTTGCTTCAACCTCAGCCTCAGCCTCAGCCTGCCTCGGCCTCAGCCTCAGCCTGCCTCAGCCTCAGCCTCAGCCTGCCTCGGCCTCAGCCTGCGTCAGCCTCAGCCTCAGCCTGCCTCAGCCTCAGCCTGCCTCAGCCTCAGCCTCAGCCTCAGCCTCAGCCTGCCTCGGCTTGCCTTTGCCTCAGCCTCAGCCTGCCTCGGCCTCAGCCTGCCTCGGCCTCAGCCTGCCTCAGCCTCCCCTCCTCCCCCCCCCCTTCCCCCCCCCCTCCATTCAGCCTCACCTTGTCTCAGCTTCGGCCTGCCTCGGCCTCATCCTCAGCCTCAGCCTCAGTCTCAGCCTCAGCCTGTCTCGGCCTGAGCCTGCCTCGGCCTCAGCCTCAGCCTGCCTCAGCCTCAGCCTGCCTCAGCCTCAGCCTCAGCCTCAGCCTCCTCAGCCTCAGCCTGCCTCAGCATCAGCCTCAGCCTCAGCCTCAGCCTGCCTCGGCTTGCCTCGGCCTCAGCCTCAGCCTGCCTCAGCCTCAGCCTCAGCCTGCCTCAGCCTCAGCCTCAGCCTCACCTGCCTCAGCCTCAGCCTCAGCCTGCCTGCCTCAGCCGCAGCCTCACTGCCTCAGCCTCTTTCCTCAGCCTAGCAGCCACAGCCTCAGCCTCAGCCTCAGCCTGCCTCAGCTTCAGCCTCAGCCTCAGCCGGCCTCGGCTTGTTTCAGCCTCAGCCTGAGCCTGCCTCGGCCTCAGCCTCAGCCTCAGCCTGCCTCAGCGTCAGCGTCAGCCTCTCAGCCTCAACCTGCATCAGGCTCAGCCTCAGCCTCAGCCTGCCTCAGCCTCAGTCTCAGCCTGCCTCAGCCTCAGCTTGTCTCAGCCTCAGCCTCAGCCTGCCTCGGCCTCAGCCTGCGTCAGCTTCAGCCTCAGCCTGCCTCAGCCTCAGCCTGTCTCTGCCTCAGCCTCAGCCTGCCTCGGCGTGCCTCAGCCTCAGCCTCAGCCTGCCTCGGCCTCAGCTTGCCTCGGCCTCGGCCTGCCTCAGCTCGGGCATTCAAAATATGGCACAGGAGTGGTGTTCTGGGAACGCGGGGATCACGAAGTGGCCCACAGTTGGCTCCGGGCATTCAAAATATGGTACAGGAATGGTGTTCTGGGAAGACGAAGAACACGAAGTGGCCAACAGTTGGCTCCGGGCATTCAAGATGTGGCCTGGGAATGGTGTTCTGGGAAGACGAAAAACACGAAGTGGTCAACAGTTGGCTCCGGGCATTCAAAATGTGGCCTGGGAATGGTGTTCTGGGAACAAGAAGAACACGAAGTGGCCTACAGTTGGCTCCAGGCATTCAAAATGTGGCTTGGGAATGGTGTTCTGGGGAGTCCCCAGATCCTCCCCGGCACCCGCCCAGACCCCCTTGGGGAGTCCCGGGGGGTCCCCGGATTCTCCCCGGCATCCGCCCAGACCCCCCTGGGGAGTCATGATGCTCTTTTTTGAGACCACTAGACACCTATCAGTCTTCGCTGTTAGGTAATATGGGAAAATTATCCCGGCAAAGTAACCTAACAGCGATGTGTAGGAGCATATCTGGAAGCATTGTCCGACACTGTGTGGCACACGGCGGGAGGAAAGATCGAAAGGGCGAGGGGGAGCCTTTATACACAGCACATGGGAACGGGGTCGCTAAGCCCAAAGGGCTACGGAAAGGCACGCCGAGCCCTATCCCTAGGCTAAACCCGAAGCGACACGGAGGGGGGAAAGTCGAGAGAGGAGAGGAAGGGTCCACCAGGACCCTGTGGCCCCCGGGTCCGGGTCCACGGAGACTTTCGGGGACAGCGGGCCAAACTTCGACGGGTTTAAGCCGTCTGGTGGCAGAGCAGCTCCGGCCTTCACGTACATTCGGTCGGCGGTGCGCGTGACCATCCAGGTCTGGCGCGGGCCTGTCTGCGGGTGGACGCTCGCCGGGGCTCCTCCTTCTCCTCCTCCTCCTCCTCCTTCTCCTCTACCTGACTCGTACTCCTTCCCTGCTCCTACGTCCTCGTCCTCCTCCACCTCCTCATCTACCTCGAGCGTCCTCACCTTAGATGGCTCCTCCCTTAGTGGTCCAGGGGTTCTCCCATACTTAGCTGCTAACTCAAGGGCTCGACGGCTGGCTCCCTGGGACTGGCTCTTCAAAGATTCATTCAGAGCTCGCTCTGAAAGATGCCCGTGTTCGTCTATAAGAGACCGGGTGCCTCGGAACAATATATCATGAAGGGCCAGGTTCCCCTTACAGGGGTCCACTTTTGTCAACGGGTCTGCAGGCATCCTCGCGTGCGGCATCCACCGCACTTGCGAGCCAATAGCACTGAGAGCGTCACGAACGACGGCCAATTCAATAGCATTGCGGCGGTCGGCCTTCGAGCCGGCCGAATTCCGAGACAGTGTGTCGAAAACCGATTTTGCATCCACTACTGCTAGGCCCGAGGCAGCCTCGCTCAACTTGCAATCCTTAGACATGACGACAGTGAAAGGGGCCTGCCCATCAAACCGATCGGGGCGGGACACATCGTTGAAGACTGCGTCTCGAAAGAGGATCTGAAGCCATTGGGCCTCGCCCGTGGCCGAGGACAGAGCAAGGGTCTCGGCGGCCACGGTGCTGGCGACAGCCCGTTTGATGCGCCGAGAGCGCCATGACAGAGTGCTAACCTTCGAACGACGATTTTCCCTGATGCCGGCGTCAGCCGCCATCACGATCCAGGCACCCTGGGCTCCTCCTCGACGCGCGGTCCCTGGTCCACCCGAATCACTTGCAGTGGCAAAAGTGAGAGAGTAGGGGTCTAGTGACCAAATGGTTAACTTCTGCTCGCACGATCCCTTTAGGTACTTACACACCTTGGCAAGCGTCAGGGCGTCCGACACAGACGGGGCAGGCAAAGCGGCGGCCAGGAGAAACGCACTCCCAGCAACATCCGGGCGGCTTTCACGAGCCAGCCATTGCACTTGTGCCGCCACAGTGCGGTACGCCGAAATCTCGTCGGGGGTGAGGGGAGAGTCGGGGGTGGACTTTCTCTCCCTAGTGAGCTGCATAACACTAAGCTGTTCCCTAGTATATTTTTCTTGGTCAACCGTAATGCGGTCCCCGTGCTGGACCACTCGACGACCTGCATACTCAGACTCACCCAACTTCCACTTTCCGAACTGAAAACGCTGGCACATCGCCTGACGCAAAGGATCCATGATCCGATCGTCGCCGGCGATGATGAGTTCGTCGACCTCAATTAAAACCAAAGCTTCTAAGCGCCCGTGCTCGCCACGCTTAAGCCACAGGCATGGCTCCAGCAAAGACTTCGTGAAGCCCTGAGTTGACAGCCAGTCAGTCAGGGTCCGGTGCCACAACAGAGGGGCGTCATTGAGGCCGTGTACCGGGGCCACCAGCTCGATAAGTTGATCAGAACCCAAGGTAAGCCCGTGACAGGGCTCCACGTAGATGCCCCCCCGAGGCCTACGGAGGCGGTCACTCTGACAGAAAGCGTTCTTCGCGTCGGCCACCTGGAGCTTCCATCTCATGGACGTGATTATCTGTAGCGCCACCATTATGCTTTCTGACTGAGGCGTGGGTGCGTATACGGACAAAGACTCCCCGTCTGGGTCCTGATGTCCGTGTACGCACCATCGGCTCTTGGCCTTAGGCGCCGCCCCGACGCCCTCCTGGGGCTTCAGCCGTCGCACCATCCTGGAAGAGAGAATCCGGTCGGGGAAGCGCCTCCTAGCCAACCTGGACTCCTCTGAGCTCAAAACCCGAACGGCACCCGAGCTGAGTATCGCTTCCCACTCGGATCGATCTGACTCGAGAAACTGCTGGCGTTCCGAATCCGACAGGTGCTTCCACACGACCTCCGCCCCTCGAGGCTTGGACGGGGCTCCAGCGTGAGCCAATCCAGAAAAGCCTTCAAAGGCAAGACCGAAAAAGGAAAAGAGATCCACAGCACCAGGCACAGCGGACCATTCCGCCAGCTCCTGAAGAAGGGCCTCGTCTTGCCAGTCGTCCTCGGACTCCTCCAAGTAGGTCAGGTGGGGGCCTTCCGAAGCGGGCTCCCGGGACGCGGACGCCGGGCCAGGGGAAAGAGGCGGGGCCCCACGAGGGCCCTCGAGCACCCGAGGAACCGGCCCGGTCGCCGAACGGGAGACTCGAGTCGCCCGAGGAGCGGACAAGCTCCTGGCCCCCAGGGGCCTAGAACGAACGGAAGGGGCCCGGGAGGGCTGGAGCGGCAGAAGGTTCGCTCGGAGCGTCTCCAGCGGAGGCTTCCCGCTCGAGGATCATTCTGGCAACACGAGGCCCTTCGCCTAGATCTTCGGCGGGCGTCAGCCTGGGCGCCACTCGCCTCTCGGCAGACTGCTCCAGCCTCCGGACCTCAGCTTCGCGAGGGGGCTCGAGCCCCGAAGCCGAGGCGCCGATTGAAACTGGGCCGGCAGCGACAGGTGCTATCTCGGCAGGAGCGTGACTGGCTGATGCCTCGGAACTCACCATGCGACCCAGGGAGCCCTCGACCATGGGGGCAAGAGTGTCGGCCTGACTTGAGAGCTGACGGGCCAATCCTGGAGCGGCCGGGGAAACGGGACCCTCCGGGGGCCCGGCATCCAGGGTTCTCGAGGCCGGAGATGGGACGACTGGCTCTCCGCCGCCGGGAGTATCGTGACGCTGCTGGGGGGGAGGCCCCTCGGAGGCCACGTCGACGGCGCCAATCCGTCTCCCCGGGGACCTGACTTGCTCGCGAAGAGCGTCGAACCTCTCGGTATCCAACAACTCCGCCCCCAAAGCTTCTTGTCTGGTAGCGGGCCTTACTTGCTCCTCCGAACACTTAAGGAGACGAGTTCTCATCGCAACCCAAACGGTGCTTCCAGTCTGGTGGACCACGACGCCAGGGCCGGTCCACCTGTCACGCTGCAAGGAGTGAGATCTGTTGGCAGAGGTCACTCGACGCCAAACATAGACCCACTCTCCAGGCTTAAAAATCTTGTCGGAGTGAAGGCGGGAGCGAGAGGCCTCGGACAGGCGAGACCGGGCATCCATGGCCGCGAGCGCCTTCTTGGCCTCCTCTCGGACCCGATGCCTTCGAGCAAACTCGGCAGCCGCTGAGTCGGAGTCGGGGCCCTCTCTCAAGACATCCTCACAGCCAATCAAATCAACCCCTTCGTCGCGCAGCAAAGCCCGCGGGACCCTAGGGCTACAACCGAAAACCAACTGGGGAAAAAACCGCCGCGATGATAGGTCTGGTTCTTCTGAGCAACGCACTCGGCCAGGATTTCCTCAACTTCGACGGCGGTGGAGGGGCTAAGAGCCAGCGACGCCTTGGAGAGGGCGTCCTTCAATATTCCGCCATGCCTCTCACACTTTCCGTTCCAGTGCGGCGAACTGGCTGGAACAACCTGATGGAAAACCCCATTGTGCTCGCATCCCCTGCTGAACTCCCTTTCAAACTCCCCCCCTCCGTCGGACACAACGATGTCTGGAATGCCGAAGGGTCTGATCCACCATTGGAGGAAGGCGCGCCGCGTCACCTTGGCAGAATCGTTGGGGAGGAGGCGCGCCTGCTGATACGACGTCCCATGATCTATGATGTTCAGCACTGGCACCGAGTTACCCCCCACGTCAAGATAAAACAAGTCCACGGCCACCACCCTATTAAACTGATAAGTACGAGGGATGTGCGCACGCCGCCTCCAGTGAGGCCGAGAGTGGGCCTCGCAGGCTGCGCAACGAAACTCCTCCTTAACCCACTTGAGCACATCTTCGCGAGCCCGTGCTACTCGAAACGTGCGAAGAAAATCTGACCGATTCGGATGCCCCAAGTTGACGTGCAAACGATGCACCTCTTGTTGGAGGGCCGCGTGCAACTCCGCCTGGCCTCCGGAAGCCTGAGACACTGGAATTCCTCGGGGACGTCCGGGGTCCGGGGGCCGCGATTCAGGTTCGTCGGCGTCGGAGTCTCCCTCCGGGTCAACCTCGGGAAACGACGGGGGTTCAAAGTCCGCATCCGAATCTTCGGCCGTGGCGGTCAGTGAAGGGCTGGAAAAGTGATGCAGCCTGCCCGCATGCTGGATGCCGGCCGCAATCGCGTGGACGAGCTCGTCAGGGTAGCGCTCCGCCAGGCTGGTCCTGCGCCCGCCCTCCAGGGGAAGATGGGAGTGGGTCTTGGAGCATTCCCGAACACAGTGGGCTAGAAGCGGCTCGGAGTTACTGATCAGGACGGTGCGCTTCCGCGAGAGACCACCGCCCTTCGAGACTGACAAACCGAACTCGCACTGATCCGTCCGACGAGTGAGCACCCCGGGGAGAGCCATCAGTTCCTTGACCGAATCGAGCGCGAGAGAGCTGGCCCGATCCGGCTGCTCAAACCAAAAATACCTGCCACGACTCATCTGGTGACGAGCGATCAGAACGCACAGATGCATGTACTCAAGCCCCTTCTGTTCTTCCTCGACTAGCTTGACTCGGTTCATAGCATCCCAGAACGGAACCCTCGATATGCTGAAAGCCTTACAGACCGGGGACATAGTCATCACCAGTGGCTCGTCGGCCTCGATCCGCCGCCACAGCTCGCTGCGGCCTCGAGGCGTGCTGAGATCCTGTCCCGTCAGGACGTCCGAGGCTGATGAGACCTCGTGCCCTTTCTTCTCCAGCAGCGGGGCCGCCCGGGGCCTCGAGAACACCTCCATAGCTAAGGCCCCCCCCCTTAGGCGCTCTGCCCGCTGGAGCTCCCTGGTTCTAAGCCGCCGGCCTGGTCTGAGGCCAGCACCCCCTAGGGCCCGCGCCGATTCTTCTCGCACTTCGCGTGGAACCGCGACGTTCGAGAGGGCTTTCGGGACTGCGCCGGCTAAGGCTGCGGCCGCGAAGCGATCCTCGATCACGTACTTGAGACCCTCCTTGACCGCTGAGGCCCCCACCTCCTCCTCCCCCCCGCTCTCCTCACCTGTCCTCTCGTCCTCCTTAGTGCCTGGATCAAGCCAGAGGGTGACCTCAGGAGCCCCTCTTTCTCTCACTGGAGCCTGACACGAGAGGGGCAGAGCTTCGTCGATGTCTTCGCTGGTGGCGGCCGCCCAGGGCCGGCTCAAAAACACCCTGCCGTCGCAACCGCAAATCTCAACCCAACGCGCACGAGGGGGAATGAGGCAGGCTGGCGCCTTGCCGCCGCAACGCTCTATAGAGGGAGTGAGAAAGAAAAAGGAGTGAAGGGCACCTTCGACTGGCGTCCTAATCCAGTTGACCTTGGACGGAAGGTCGGCCGAACTTCCCAGAGGCCCTGGGCCTTTCCGGACCCAAACGCTTTGTCTTCTCTCCTGGGCCTCGAGTGGTAAACCTGAACGCTCCTGGCAAACATATCCTGGGACCTCGGCGGCGGCCCCTGTCGCCAGCTGCTGGCAGCCCTCAGAGCTCCTACAGCCTGCATCACCTCGTCGCCGAGCCGGCCCCCTGGATGCTCTGGATCCGCATCATCATGGAGGCCAGCCTCGCCAGGTCCTCGTCCGCGAACGTCGGCGGCGGCTGGGCGTCCCTCGCGGCTTTCTCCGAGTTGACGAACTCCCGGACACGCTCCCAGATCCTCTCGTTGCTGCGAGCCTGGGTGTCGATGCAGATCTTCATGTCGCTGAGCGCCGTCTGCATCTCCGTGACCGACATCGGTCGGGAGGCCGAGGGCCCTGGCGGCTTGGGCGTCGCGCCCGCCGCCGCACTCGGCGGAGCGCCCTCCTGCCGGAGGCGGGTGCTTGTAGGGAACGTACCCCTCGGCGATCGGCACGAACAGGTTCTGCGGGCACGGAGGGATCCCCGCGGCCGAGATCACCGCCGTCGATCCCGAGCCCGATACCACGCGCCTGGCCCTCTGTGGCTCTGGGCCTGGCGTCCAGGGGTCCGGAGGCAGCGCCTCGAACCGGCCGTTCTTGTAGTCCTCGAGCATCTGCGCGGCCTTCTCCTTCGCCTCGGTCCTCTGAACCTTCGCCGTCGCCTTCTCGTGCTTCCGGCGCTGCGCGTCGAACAGCTCCTCCGCCGTCCTGTCGCGGCACCACAGCCGCTGTGCACACTGGCGACAGTGCTCGCACACCGACATCGGATTCGAGCCCGGCTTGCGTGCCCACAGCGGGTGCTTGCACATCTCGGACGGGAACGACTCCGTGAAACTCTTGGGCAGACGCTGGACCATCGCCTTCATCGTCTTGAGCACCAGGTCCACGCACGTCAGGCGAAGAAACCAGTGGCGCCACTTGTACTGGTACTTCGGTAGGTTGAGCTGGCCGCTGCGGAACTCGATCTCCTCCTGCTGCGTCATCGCGTCCGCCTCGAGAGCCGCCTCGATCGTCTCCGGAAGCGCCTGCCACTCGGAACCGGACATGTCGGTGTCGCTCTCGACGATCGAGCCCAGCGTCCTCGGCTTGCGCTGCATGTTCTTCTTGCCGAGCTTCTTGATCATCAAATGGCCGAAACTCTCGGCGCGAGTTGGGCCGGTCAGAGGCTGAGTCTCGCTCTCGAACCAGGCAATCTACGGACCCGCTGTCCCCAGGAGACCCCGAGACACCCTTTCCCGAAGTCCCAAGAGCTCCTGGAGGCCTCGAGCGAGCGAGAAAGGAGAGGAGGGCTGACTGGGCCAACGGATTCGCGCTCTCACTGCCCTTCCCCGTGCAGTCCTGAGGCAGCCCCGTCGAGCATCCCCGTGGCAAGCTCATCAGCAGCTGCGACGGGACGCGGAAGTGCTCGGGGGCGCAGTGGATCAGCGAGACGGACCTGTGACCAGATGGGTGGCGGAAGAGGCTCCTCCCCACGCGCTCCCCGCAGTCCGTGACGGTCATCACGTCGCTGACCAGGTCAATGTTCGCCTCGATCATCTCGAGAAACTTCGCTGGAAGTATCGGCGGCACCTGGCCCTCGAGGATCAGAAACTCGATAAACCCGAACCCCGCCAGAGAGCACGGGACCCAGGCGCGGCCAACGGGCTCGGCAGACCCGCCTATACCCGAGGCCCTCCTGCCCTGCACGGGCGTCCAGTCGATGTGCACATGGTAGCCTCTCTGCTTGAAGGCCTCCCGCAGGATCTCGATGTCCGGCGTCCCGACGAGTGCCTGCCCAGCAGCGGTGTCGACGAGTCCGTGATCCCTCATGTTCCTTACATTCAGCTCGGGCACCGTCTTCCCACTGACCAGACCAACCCACTCCTCGACAGAGAAGGTCGCCCACGTGCCCGTTGAGCGCCAGTCGACCGGATCCGAGGCGAAACCAGCGGTACAAAGATCAGCCGTCACACTCTCGACGCAGTCGGCCGCCATCTCGAGCTTCGTCAACTGCACGTTCTCCAGGAATGTAGGGTCGTCCTCCGCGCTCATGAAGGCGTAGCCCGACCAGCTCGAAGAACCTTTCGTCGCAGCAGCCACCGATTCCTTCTTCTCTCCCGCGAGCCGATCAGACTTGGACCTGTAGGGTTTCCGGCAGTCCTCGGCCCAGTGACCACGCTCGCCATAGTTAGCGCACCGAGTCTTCTTCTTCAGGTCAACGGAGGTGATGCGCTTGTATCCTGGGCGGGCGGCGCGGCGACGATCGAAGAACTCAC